TAATAGGTTTATCTTGTAATAACTGTCGAGAAATGTAGTCAACATGTTGAATTTGTTTGACACTTCTGTGCTGAACCGTATAGTCGTATGCACTCAAAGCAATACTCCATTGTTGAACCATAGCAGCTGAGGAACGTGCGATGGATTTTTCAGGATGATAAATAAACTTTAAAGCTTCATGTTCAGTAGCAATAGTGAATTTTTTTCTGAATAAGTATTTGCGGAGTCTTTTAACTGCCCAAAACACAGCTAATATTCCTCTCAGTTAAACGACGCAATAAAGCAATAAGTCTCTGTTCGTGAACTACCTTATCAGAACCATGAACAATGAGACCATCTTGATAAGCTTCAACACCTTCAAGATCACTAACTACCTTATTCATAACTTCCTAATATATGGCTGCAGAACAACTTAGACCAAATGGAAGGAAATTGTATTTGAACAGACCAAAATGAGTGGTAATTGTCGTCAAAATAGATGAAGATTGATCTAAAGGAATTTGAAGCTAAGCATTTTTAGGTCAACTTTCGAGAACACTTTAGAACCATGAGGTCGATTTAGAATATTTTCAGCTTCTACTGTCGTGCACGTTTGCCTCAACAGACGGGAGTTCAGTGTTAATCTATAGTCACCACATATTCTAGGGGTCTTGCCGTCCGACTTCAGTGGCGTAACAATAGGAGTACCCCATGCTGAAGACTGAATCGGTTCAATTATGCTTTTTTTCACACAAATTGTTTAGTGTCTTATGTACTGCTTCTCGAAGACCATAAAGAATTATTCGTTTTTTAAGAAGGACTGGATCACCCTGTACTTGAAGTTTTATAGGCTGAATTTTCATACCTTCACTGCACTGAACACAAGTAGCTATCAAATCTTTAAGTAAAGCATCAGAAATTTCTTTAGAAACTAAAAAAGACAACTCCACTTTAAGCCTTTTCGAATTCTTTAAGGTATGTATGAAGAATTATCATCTCAGATTCAAATTCAGATTTTATATTCAGATTCGGATTTGTGTAGAAAGGACAGAAGGCCTACGGCCTATGTTATCACTTTTGTAATATGCTTCTGTGAGTGTCCAGTCTTCTCTTCAAAGAGTCAATTGAATGTGTGGACACCAATGTTTCGGGCAGCAGGTTCCAAGTATTGATAACTTGGTGTGAAAACCAGTATGCCACAGGTATTTTTTTCTTTCTCGACTTTTCTACTCGCCTGCTATGTCCTCTGAAATGTTTCGATCTAGTGGAAAGAAAACGAGAGCATAGGTTAGGTCCAAAATCAGTTCTCAGTATTCTGTACATCAAAATTAGATCTCCCCTTAGTCTTCGATAGGACAGAGTAAAGAGGTTCAGCTTTTCAAGCTGCTCTTTGTATGGTAAACCCCGAAATTCTGGAATTGCACGGCTAGCCGCCCTCTGTACTATTTCTAGGATATCCGAGTCACCTTTTAGACAGGGGCTTGCAGCCTGAACGCAGTTCTCAAGCTTAGATCTCACTAAGGATGTGTATACTCTATTGAGCATGGTAGTATCTAACTAAGTGAATGTCCGTTTTGAAGCCCAGAGGGTTTGAAACCCCTTGGCTGCGACCTCCAGGCAATGGGCCGTCGTCTTAAGATCATTACTCACTGTCACACTAGATCCTTATGAGACCGGACTACTGGTAATGACACATCCCCTATGTTGTACGTATTAACCTTTGTATCCCCCAAGTGCATGTAGACACACTTTGCCTCATTGATAGGCATCAGCCACTCTTTAGACTTGTTATTCATATCATTTAACTCTGCCTGAAGAGCGCATGCGTCTTTGTCTCCAGTTATTACTCGCCCGATTTTTACATCGTCAGAGTATAATAACATTGGGAACTGTACTATACTTGGGAGTTCATTTGCGCAGTATAAAAAGTAAAGGGCTTAGGATGGAACTTTGAGGTACTCCACTAAGTACTTGTCTCTAAATGGGGCACTTCTAGTTTATGATTACTTCCTGTCTACGACCATTTTAAAAGAGGTTCAACAATACCAAGGTTTTCCAACTTCAATAACAGTCTATTAGTTAGCACCTTGTCGAAAGCTTTACTGAAGTTTATGTAGATAACATCCACTGAGTTTCCGTTGTCTAGCACCATTATCCAAAATTCCTTTGCCATAAGGAGGCTCGTTGTACAAGACAGACCCTTTCTAAAACCATGTTGTTCTATGTTTAGCAAGTTATTAGTTTTCCATAAATGCCATTATGGTCCGTTTGACTATTCTTTCCAATATTTTAACTACAACACTGATAAGGCTTACAGGTCTTTAGTTCGATGGAAGTTGTCTTGGTCCTGTCTTATGTATGCGAGTGACGATTGCGTCCTTCCAGTTCATAGATAACACACCTTGATCAAGTGACATATCGAATATCACAGTCAGTGAAGCCGCGATATGTTGTGCAATATGTCTCAAGATTTTTGGGTGTAGTTCATCTCTTATTAGCAATTCACAACATCCTCGTATGGGCAGTCTGTGTCCAGTAATCCCCAATATTGAAACTTCAGTGGGCCCTTACACAACATTAGGATCTAAAGATTTCAAGTTCTTGAATGAATAATACACTCTATACTGATTGTGTCCACAATAAAGTCATCACATGAACCAAGCGATGTATATAATCGCTTTTGAATATACGCATTACCTTTCGAAATGGTTGACAACGATAAATGGTCATTGGGAACAGCCAAATTATTGGGATCTAAATTACAAGATCTATAACTACTTGAAGCAAAATGAACAATAGCTTTGCATACTGACTGAATGTGTTTTATCTTACCACATTTAAGACATTTGGCATTACGAAATGCACATGAACTACGAGAATGAAATTTTCCACGTGATAAACTTTTAACAAACTTCATCTCACCTTTGTGATTTGCTCTGTAATTTCTTGTTTAAACAGCTTTCATATTAGCATGAGAGTAGAAATCACTGTTAAACCAAGGCGTTTGATTGACCCTGAGATTGTATTTCATTATGACGACTAAGCAAAGTATTAGAAATCTTCATCAAGTTCATTCACTACCTCGTAGTTAATAAGAGCACATCAGACACTGTCCTTAAAAAACTTTCATCCACTCGACCGTTCCCTTCATTATTTCCATCATCAATATCATAATGCTAAATACATTCATCATAAACTTTTACCTTATTATTTGTGAACGAGAAAACACATCATACATATCAATAATTGTTTTTCTTGCCAGCTGAACCAGAGTCAACCCCAATCATAGTGAAATGTAGCTAGCACTGGAATTTACGATGTGTAGACTATTTGTAAGAATTCTTATATAAACTAATCTATCCGATAAATACATTAAATCTATTTTACACAACTAACGGGTATAACAATATTCCATTTTTCCAAAGATTTTTTATTTATGATAGAACAATTAGCCAATATGTGCTTTTTATCGTTTCAGACATTCATAAAGTTATAACAGTCCTGCAGTAATACGCATCCACAAACTCGGTCACGCGTGAAAATCTTTAAGCCGTAAACCATTGATTCGGCTGGCATCCAGAGGTGTTATTATCTGAGATCAAAAAATCCACGATATTGTGCGATCGTCCACCATTGTCTCCAATAAGTAGATGCACCACAGCAAACATAGTTGACTTCCACTGGTCACGGCTTCTCAGTAGAACTCTATGAAATTCATTTTGAAGCCAGTCACCGGTGAGCAAATGATGATAAATCCCATACTAGGACAAGACGACCGTCAATTGCCTCCTTGTTCTACATACTGGTCTAGCTTAGTTCGACTCATGAATTCAACTATTAGATTACTACAATCTCCATAAACCACCATTCGGTTACGTTGATTTGCAATCCGTGTTTTACATTCCTAATATGTATTTGGGAAGATTGACGGGGTAAATTAGAGGCATTGATGGTTGACTATTTTGCCCAAAACTAGCGGTTGAAAAGTACACACAGAATATGCAAACACAAAGAATATTTAAACGAACAGTTGATTACGTCATCAGGCTCCACGGTTAAAAATCCATAATAATTGTCATATTTTACAAAGACCAAAATAAGACAGGCATGAGTGAAATTGACAATGTTTTATGTGAACAATGATGAACATTCTCATGTGTTACCATGGAAATACTTGAAGATAGTGTGATTTATGAATTAGGAAGGTCACTTCATGAAGGTCGAAATGACTTGTAGTAAAGTTCCATGCTTTTATCAATATAATAATACTAATAATAATGGTGGTAATAATAACGTTGTGTAAATAAAATATGTATTAAAAGGAATATAGTTAAGGTAATTACGATGAAAGAGAATCAATGTGGATTAGGAAAGAGATAATCACAAAGAGAATTGGGATAATAGGCTTATTACATGTATTTGAGGTGTCTTGTGATTCAGTCGTGGACCACGGTAAACATGGAGGCTGAATATACCTTTTTCACAATGTATAATGATCATAGCCAAAACCATGTTTCATCTAGTGAAAAATGATTTTCAACTTATCTGACAATAAATATGGATTGATGACTTGCCAAACTGCTCCTGGTGAGGTAGATGAAGAAGAAGAAGAAGAAGAAATATTAGTAGAAACTTCTAACATGTATGCTGCACTACTCCCCAAGCAACACAAAAAGGGGAAATAAAGGGCAAAAAAGGGGAAATAAAGCGGACGAAAGGGGAAATAAAAAGGAAATGTCGCTTTTTCGCCTTTACGTCGGTTATTTAGGGGAAATGTCGCTTTTTCCTCCTTACGTCGTGTATTTGGGGGAAATTTGTCGACAATTCTACGTAACGTACAGTTTTTGAATAAACCGCATCATGAACATAATTTTCCATAGACTTCGTCGAATTAAGGCGCCGCTTAGTAAAGAAACAGAAGTATTGTCATAGAAACAATCTACTAGATACGGAACCAGGCATTCGGTTGATACGCACACATAGTGACTTCGTTTGTTGTTTAGCTGAAGTGTTCCGACATGCTTTGGAGCCATCACAAAAAACTTACGTTATGCCGGTGAGTGACGTCCTCTCAGACTTTCATGTTAATTGTAATTGATTACCTTGTAAGGCCAATACTATGAGTTCTATTGAAGTCAGTGAGAATGTTCGTAGACGTAGGGCCACTGTGAACTTGTCACGTTCCCTTGGCTGTCATAGATCCACTTATAATAGAAGGTGGAATAAAATGAAAGCTGCTCTCATGAAAAAATATCACTTTCTTTCGTTTAGTGAGTTTGCTAATGACAGCACCTTAAAAGGTAACTGAGTTCAACAATGTTTACGTAATTTATAGAAATAACGAGAGAAGTCATTTGTAATGAAAGTACTTCAACTAGTACACCGTCCACTAGCAACATCAATCAAAGGTTTTCACATAATAGTGGTCGGGTTTTGTATGGTCTACGATTTCTTATACCGGAAATACCGAAAAGCATCAGAAGTGTTCTTAAGACGTGTCCAAGTGTTCAACCAAAGTTCATCGGCAGTGGGGTTTACTACCATCTTGGATTGAAAACCAATCTGCTAAGATACGTTGAGCTTTGGTTGTGTACTACTGATTTTGACTCTTTAAATTTATATGTTAATATAGATGGACTTTCTATGTCTAGAAGCTCTAATCAACAGTTATGGCCTATACTAGGACGGATCATTACCCCTCGCCTCAGTGACGTGTTCATGATAGGTATCTACGGAGGGAATAGTAAACCCGCAGAATTTAACGAATTTTCTGCGAACACAATTTCTGAAATAAAAGAAATGACTGACGTGGGTCTTTTTAGTGTCAAGTTTAATAAATGCATAGCTATTCGGTTGGCGGCTGTTATATGTGACGCACCTGCTCGTTCCTCTGTTAGGTACACGGTGAATCATAACGGTAAGGCAGGTTGCGATAGGTGTACTGTTCTTGGAAGACGGCTTGAGGGTAAGACAACCTTTGCAAATGGGGTATATACTTTAAGAACAGACGACACCTTCCGTTGTCAGACTCAATCTATTCATCATCAAGGACATTCTATAATGGAAACGCTTTCTATTAATATGATTGTAGCTTTTCCTCTAGATCCTATGCACATGGTGTACCTTGGAGTTACAAAAAAACTAGCTAATTTATGGATAGATTTAGCACGCCGAAGAATGCGGAACTTTAACTCATGTGCAATTAGAGACATAAACAATTTAATATCCGGTTGTGTGGCAAGTACTCCTTCTGACTTTCCCCGTAAATGCCGTACACTAGACTTTGTATCGGCATGGAAAGCGTCTGAATGTAGGTTGTTCCTGCTATATTTAGGCCCGGTGATTCTTGAAAAGACATTGCCACAACCTTATTATCTTAATTTCCGGCGTTTAGCGTTATCCATGTATCTGCTTGCACATCCAAAACTCCATAAAAGTGTTGTAGAAATCGCCAGAATGAAATTATTAAACTTAATGAATGAATATGAATGGTGTTATGGGTGTGAACGCTTAGTTTACAATGTGCATTCGTTACAGCACCTCCCTGACGACGTTCAAGCACATGGACCTTTAGATAGTTTTTCAGCCTTTCCATTCGAGTCTTATATGAGACAAATTAAGGATTCCGTGCGTAGTGGGTTTGCAGTGGCTAAGCAAGCAGCACAGCGTTATGCTGAATGTCCTTCAGCGATAGGCTTCAAATTAGTGGCTTAACTAATACTACACCTACGACTATTTGCATTACTCTTACAACCTTATCAGAGCTGAGAACAGAGAAACGCGAATAATTTAAGAAAAAAGACAATCGATAAATAAACTTTATTGAACAAAATTAGAAAAGCGTAATGTAGCATCACTAACATTAAGGCGTTCAGGGACAAGACATTGTTGTTGCATAAACAAATTAAAAGGATCTCCGGGTTCTGTTGTCGCATTTTGCTTATAATAATACTGCCAGCCATCTGTCGGCGTGTAAACGGTCAGATCGACGTTTGTACTAGAACGTGGGCCATCATACGTGTAGCATTCTCCGACGTAGACACAGGTTCAATGTAAGGCAGGAATAGGAATATGGGATTTGCAGTAATGTCCGGTGAACACATTTCACCACATGTATCAGCAATGAATAAAGCCCCACCACCAGCACCGGAAACGTGATTGTATGATTGTATCCAAGATTTGGCACAGGATATTTCCGGGCCAAGAAGACCAGTACTAAATAAATCGAATGGCAAATATTGGTGGTAATCAGCATCCCATTGAGGAGTTCTATGAAATAAACGAGGATGGTTCTCGAATTTCCATGTTTTGTCCCGTTGTTACTGACTGACTGACTTCCATGTTTTGTGATAGGTTTGACCTGATGAAAGTGTTTGGACATTTGTACAAGAAAGCAACCCGGGATCTTCTGCGGTTTGCCAAAAGTAATTAGATTTCAAAGGCAGGTTCTGTTTAACCATTATATCTTTTGTAATTGCAACTCCCTGGGTATAAATCTGCGTGAGTGATCCCGACGTGTCCTCGGCAATGTACATATATGGTGCAACGTTGAATGATGTAACGTCGATAGCAGTCGTCCCCTGTAAACTCTTTTGTAGAGGAATGAAATGAGAAATGCGCATATAAGCAGAATGAAAATGACAGATTGGGTAAACTGTATGAATGGAGTGGAAAGGTTCTTGATACGCTGTTCCAGCGGCATTAATACCCCAGAAATCAAAGCATGTATAGGGAAGGCATGTGATTGAATATTCCGCGGAAGTGTCAGCAGGCTTGAATTGGTTAATGGTGAGATGATTTTTTCTAACGATTCGGATTCTGGATTTGTAATAACGGGGTTTAATAAGTTGGCAAAGGGGAAGTTTCTCTCCATGAGTCTCTGTGGTCGCTGAACCCTCCTCATTGCTATCCGCCTCCATCCGTAAACGTTTGCCTGAAGAACCCATATAAGTGACACGCACAAAATTGTGTAGGAGGTTCCGGAACGTGTAAGCCAATTTGTTTTGTGAGGTGGTATGTAATACATCGTTTATATATAGCATCCTTATCGATAGAGTTTATATACGTGCCGAGGTTACTATTGGTCGATATCAAAACGGGGATGCGTGGGAGTGTCACATCTGGTTGGTGCGTAATGTGAATGTCAAACGGTGAACCACCCAAAAGCTCTTTAAAGTCATTCACGGTGATTGGTGTAATACGAGGTTCTTCCATGAGCGCAACGGATTTGTTATTTAAATTTTGTAAAAAAAACTGTGAATGATCACCACTCCTCTGCACCGTTCCATATGTGTAGTTTTGGACTATTAATTTCAGGATGAGGGTTTTACCAGTAGTCGTTGGTCCTTCTAAACAGAATGTATTCACGCGTAATTTCGTCTTATCGATAATTGTTTGAATGTCATTCAAAAATTGTTTAGGATTAATTTCGTTCGCAGCAAAAAAAGTTTCAAACCATTGATTACTCAACGTGTAGTCTGATGGATGTGTACATGAAGACATATGGTGATTAGTAGATACCCATGTAACCCAGGGAACGCACATTTGTTGTTTAATGTTGGTTTCGTTGTAGACATCTATACAGAGCTGAGCCGTCTCTTCCCATTGTTTACCATATTCGTAATACAGGTTTAATCTGTCTTTAGCTGAAAGTTTCATCTTCAGTTGTTGTAAATGTGTAACATTGTAAAGGGTAACCAAATCCATTAAATGCTCTCCACACTGCACTCTCGTGTTGTGGCTTGGTTTGTTTTCGCGACGGTTCTCCCGCATAAACACAGAGCAGTCTTGGTCAGACGGTGTAACAAGAAGTAATTGATCGAAAAATCTCTTAAGCTTCGTCCCTATCAATTCTGCAGAGTAATCGGCCTTTCGCACAAGATAACGCATGAAAGCATGCCAGTTCTTAATGGGTTGTAAGGTCGCGCCTGCATCACATGAAATGTTACCAGCTTGTAAAATATTTCTAACGGTACGGAATCGATTTTTCATAGAGGTTTGAAAAACAAAGTGATAGTGATCAACATGATTTATTATAATCGTATTCACTCTGTGGCCTTTCACAAATTTAGGAGGTGGACCCTTGTAAACAATTGTCCAAAGTTCCTCACCTTCATCGTGATCAATGGGAATGTCTTGAAAGTATTCTGCTACTTTATCATCGGAGCCGAGTTCTTGAGGAATATTAATAATATTTTGGCTAGATGTACTGGCAACTGGTTCATCTGGTGGGGTTGTCCTGACATTATCGAGTAAACGTAAAACTTCGTCCGTTTCTTCAGCTGTTATTGGAGACCAACCCAATTCTGAACGTGTGCGTTTTGTAAACCAATGTGGCTCGTCGTCAATGTCGGCGGGTTGTTGTAGGCTACGTTTGAGAATGTTAATGTTTTGTTGTAAGTAGTCGTTATTGGGGTTCGGATGTGTAAATGGATCAGCATCTCTGATAGATTCAAGTCGTCTGATTTCAGCTTCAGTTTTTTCGCGAGCCTTTTTTTTCTTCTTAATCGCTTCCCACTGCGATACCTGTGCATGTGAAACGGTGCGTTTCATTTTAGTAAAGTGAGCAGAGTCGAGTGTTTATATAGTTTTCTAAATAAAAGTTTCAGTCGCCTCCGCTCATAAGCTCTAATGTGTGATTGGACGGATTTTCCGTCTGTTGTCCTTCTATACTAACTAGACCTCACCTCTCTTCAAGGGTCAAGGTCGTTCGATCATGTGTTGCCATTAGGCCCGAAGGGCGCGGCTTCGCCGCCTGATGCTAGTTAGTATAGAAGGACAACAGACGGAAAATCCGTACAATCACACATTAGAGCTTATGAGCGGAGGCGACTGAAACTTTTATTTAGAAAACTATATAAACACTCGACTCTGCTCACTTTACTAAAATGAAACGCACCGTTTCACATGCACAGGTATCGCAGTGGGAAGCGATTAAGAAGAAAAAAAAGGCTCGCGAAAAAACTGAAGCTGAAATCAGACGACTTGAATCTATCAGAGATGCTGATCCATTTACACATCCGAACCCCAATAACGACTACTTACAACAAAACATTAACATTCTCAAACGTAGCCTACAACAACCCGCCGACATTGACGACGAGCCACATTGGTTTACAAAACGCACACGTTCAGAATTGGGTTGGTCTCCAATAACAGCTGAAGAAACGGACGAAGTTTTACGTTTACTCGATAATGTCAGGACAACCCCACCAGATGAACCAGTTGCCAGTACATCTAGCCAAAATATTATTAATATTCCTCAAGAACTCGGCTCCGATGATAAAGTAGCAGAATACTTTCAAGACATTCCCATTGATCACGATGAAGGTGAGGAACTTTGGACAATTGTTTACAAGGGTCCACCTCCTAAATTTGTGAAAGGCCACAGAGTGAATACGATTATAATAAATCATGTTGATCACTATCACTTTGTTTTTCAAACCTCTATGAAAAATCGATTCCGTACCGTTAGAAATATTTTACAAGCTGGTAACATTTCATGTGATGCAGGCGCGACCTTACAACCCATTAAGAACTGGCATGCTTTCATGCGTTATCTTGTGCGAAAGGCCGATTACTCTGCAGAATTGATAGGGACGAAGCTTAAGAGATTTTTCGATCAATTACTTCTTGTTACACCGTCTGACCAAGACTGCTCTGTGTTTATGCGGGAGAACCGTCGCGAAAACAAACCAAGCCACAACACGAGAGTGCAGTGTGGAGAGCATTTAATGGATTTGGTTACCCTTTACAATGTTACACATTTACAACAACTGAAGATGAAACTTTCAGCTAAAGACAGATTAAACCTGTATTACGAATATGGTAAACAATGGGAAGAGACGGCTCAGCTCTGTATAGATGTCTACAACGAAACCAACATTAAACAACAAATGTGCGTTCCCTGGGTTACATGGGTATCTACTAATCACCATATGTCTTCATGTACACATCCATCAGACTACACGTTGAGTAATCAATGGTTTGAAACTTTTTTTGCTGCGAACGAAATTAATCCTAAACAATTTTTGAATGACATTCAAACAATTATCGATAAGACGAAATTACGCGTGAATACATTCTGTTTAGAAGGACCAACGACTACTGGTAAAACCCTCATCCTGAAATTAATAGTCCAAAACTACACATATGGAACGGTGCAGAGGAGTGGTGATCATTCACAGTTTTTTTTACAAAATTTAAATAACAAATCCGTTGCGCTCATGGAAGAACCTCGTATTACACCAATCACCGTGAATGACTTTAAAGAGCTTTTGGGTGGTTCACCGTTTGACATTCACATTACGCACCAACCAGATGTGACACTCCCACGCATCCCCGTTTTGATATCGACCAATAGTAACCTCGGCACGTATATAAACTCTATCGATAAGGATGCTATATATAAACGATGTATTACATACCACCTCACAAAACAAATTGGCTTACACGTTCCGGAACCTCCTACACAATTTTGTGCGTGTCACTTATATGGGTTCTTCAGGCAAACGTTTACGGATGGAGGCGGATAGCAATGAGGAGGGTTCAGCGACCACAGAGACTCATGGAGAGAAACTTCCCCTTTGCCAACTTATTAAACCCCGTTATTACAAATCCAGAATCCGAATCGTTAGAAAAAATCATCTCACCATTAACCAATTCAAGCCTGCTGACACTTCCGCGGAATATTCAATCACATGCCTTCCCTATACATGCTTTGATTTCTGGGGTATTAATGCCGCTGGAACAGCGTATCAAGAACCTTTCCACTCCATTCATACAGTTTACCCAATCTGTCATTTTCATTCTGCTTATATGCGCATTTCTCATTTCATTCCTCTACAAAAGAGTTTACAGGGGACGACTGCTATCGACGTTACATCATTCAACGTTGCACCATATATGTACATTGCCGAGGACACGTCGGGATCACTCACGCAGATTTATACCCAGGGAGTTGCAATTACAAAAGATATAATGGTTAAACAGAACCTGCCTTTGAAATCTAATTACTTTTGGCAAACCGCAGAAGATCCCGGGTTGCTTTCTTGTACAAATGTCCAAACACTTTCATCAGGTCAAACCTATCACAAAACATGGAAATTCGAGAACCATCCTCGTTTATTTCATAGAACTCCTCAATGGGATGCTGATTACCACCAATATTTGCCATTCGATTTATTTAGTACTGGTCTTCTTGGCCCGGAAATATCCTGTGCCAAATCTTGGATACAATCATACAATCACGTTTCCGGTGCTGGTGGTGGGGCTTTATTCATTGCTGATACATGTGGTGAAATGTGTTCACCGGACATTACTGCAAATCCCATATTCCTATTCCTGCCTTACATTGAACCTGTGTCTACGTCGGAGAATGCTACACGTATGATGGCCCACGTTCTAGTACAAACGTCGATCTGACCGTTTACACGCCGACAGATGGCTGGCAGTATTATTATAAGCAAAATGCGACAACAGAACCCGGAGATCCTTTTAATTTGTTTATGCAACAACAATGTCTTGTCCCTGAACGCCTTAATGTTAGTGATGCTACATTACGCTTTTCTAATTTTGTTCAATAAAGTTTATTTATCGATTGTCTTTTTTCTTAAATTATTCGCGTTTCTCTGTTCTCAGCTCTGATAAGGTTGTAAGAGTAATGCAAATAGTCGTAGGTGTTGTCGCTCCGTGGGGGTCAAGGTCGTTCGATCATGTGTTGCCGTCAGGCGGCGAAGCCGCGCCCTTCGGGCCTAATGGCAAATAATTGCATTACTCTTACAACCTTATCAGAGCTGAGAACAGAGAAACGCGAATAATTTAAGAAAAAAGACAATCGATAAATAAACTTCATTGAACAAAATTAGAAAAGCGTAATGTAGCATCACTAACATTAAGGCGTTCAGGGACAAGACATTGTTGTTGCATAAACAAATTAAAAGGATCTCCGGGTTCTGTTGTCGCATTTTGCTTATAATAATACTGCCAGCCATCTGTCGGCGTGTAAACGGTCAGATCGATAGACGTTTGTACTAGAACGTGGGCCATCATACGTGTAGCATTCTCCGACGTAGACACAGGTTCAATGTAAGGCAGGAATAGGAATATGGGATTTGCAGTAATGTCCGGTGAACACATTTCACCACATGTATCAGCAATGAATAAAGCCCCACCACCAGCACCGGAAACGTGATTGTATGATTGTATCCAAGATTTGGCACAGGATATTTCCAGGCCAAGAAGACCAGTAGTAGTAGTGAACGGCCAGCCAGGTTTAATCACTGATATAAAGGAGGATGGACTACTAAAATTTAGGACTTTCACTGACCCACGCAATTACTTTGAAGATCCATTCCCATCTACTGATATTGGAATTTTTAGGTGCTCCGTAGTTAGCCATGAACACACATGGATATCACTTAAGGACATTGATTGTAAATGTATAGCCATCAACTGTATCAATTATGTAGTTATAGTCCCATTGTTGCATACTGTTTTGTAAATGCATTTTGTTTCACTAGTGTTTATTAATGACGATAAATCATTTAATTACGTCTTATGTTATTTTCAGCCTGCTAACAAGAAATACGTCATTGTTGACGTCCTGAGCAAAAAACAACTAATGGTAGGAAAGGAACTGTGCGCTTTTCCGAAAGAGCATGTCGATTTACATCTTCAGAAGAGCGACCAACCGAATGAAAATTGGTCATTTATGAAATGTAAAGTGATTCACGAATTAGGTACGTTACATACACAGGATGGATAATTCACCATAGATTCTCTCCAGTCGGCAAAAGATCTGTTAGTTGCCCTACAGATACTGGAGTCTAAACGGAAAAACACCTCAATGGATGAAAACACTTTGCCACTGAACACTGAAAAGCCAAAAAGGTCTGTACAATAATCTTACTAACATTTCGTAGAGGTATAATGAAGCGTAAAGAAGATTTTCTTTACAATTCAGTAGACATGGATGTTGCTGAGATGCAGTCTAGGAATGTCCCCGTACAATATCCAAAATTCCGTGTTTTCGAGAAATTAACGTCGCCAATCGCCAAGTACGTTTAATTAGTATTTAGATATTCACGAATTAGTTCGACACAATTGGAGACATCACCTTCGACATCGGAATGTAAGCATGTTGGCGGCGCTATAGTGGACAAGTAAGTTACCTGCATCATGTAGTGACCTTTTTCGGCAGTGAAAGGTTGTATACACTGGTGCTGAACATGTCGTCAGCTATCAGTGAACTGACAAAAACAATTAACAACATGTCGTCCGCCATTACTGACTTGAATGTTAATGTTAACCAACTGCTATCGAATTTTCGTGAAAGCGAAAAACCACATCAATTCGATTGCGGACTGTCCAGTCAGCAGTTTCCTTTGTCATCTGAAGAGGAACTGCAGATGCTTGATACCGGCTTGTCGCAGAAAGAAACGAGGGACAGATTTGTAAGTCATTAACATAAATTTAATTATTTGTAACGATTACAGATGGCAATGGTCACTAGGCTATCAAGTGACGACCCAAAAGCGTCCATGCGGTTTGTTTTGTCTTATCTGTTGACACCTGAGGTTGCCAGTAAATTCACGTTACTTAGCACCTCTTCAAAACGAGCACTGCAGAAATGCACGTTTTACGGCTGCATACGAAGTAACATTTATCTATTACTTAAACTTCAGGTGCTTTGACTCATCGGTTTTTGTCATCCTCTGTCAACGAAAAAGACCTTGGTAAGCTCTACGACATCGCGACCCAAGGTTACTTTCACGACATCCGAGACAAGATGATAAAACGTTCTAGGAGAAAAGATAACCAGGTATGTACAGATTTAAAGTGATAACCTCCCTACGGCTCTATAGTTACAGTCGACAATATTAACGAACATCACCGTAAGTTCAGCTTCAATTATTTGGGTGTGCTAAAGCACATCATTGAGATATGGTTGTGACTTTTTTTTTTAAATTCAGAATTCACAGGACGACTACCTCAATTCCGAATAGTCCGTGCAATGGTTTTGGTGTTCTACCTAGATGTCAATAAACATTTTTCTTTCTTACTTTTTTACTTACTTGGGAAACTGTTGAGAATGTGTTTGAGTTTGAGTGAATTTTCGATTAAATGGACATTGCTTATGAATAAAACAAAAACTGTTACTTCTTTTTCAGATAATTGTCTATAAAAATGAATTAGCAATTGCATTGGATATGCATAACAATAGATGCCTAAGCTTGTGCTATACTGTTGTACAATTATAGGTTTTTCTTTTTAAATACAATATTTAAAAAATTTACCGCTTTTAAACTGCATTGCAGAAATATTTTTGTGTGTTGTTGGAAATAAAGGCGAATGCAGGAGACCTTTTGTCTTCTGTCGATGGATAGAAAATGGGGTGTAATGTGTGTATTTAGGCGTATATGCGACTAATCAGCGGATATTTAGGCGAAAATTCGGCGGACATTTAGGCGAAAAAGCGACAATACGGCGGACATTTAGGCGAAAAAGCGACAATTCGGCGGATATTTAGGCGAAAAAGCGACAATTCGGCGGATATTTAGGCGAAAAAGCGACAATTCGGCGGATATTTAGGCGAAAAAGCGACAATTCGGCGGATATTTAGGCGAAAAAGCGACAATTCGGCGGATATTTAGGCGAAAAAGCGACAATTCGGGGGATATTTAGGCGATAAGTGGGTAATTTGTCGACAAAAAGGGGAAATTCCGCATTATTTCCCCCGGACAGGCGAAAAAGGCGACATTCTGGCGCGTTTTCTCCTTTATTTCCCCTTTCGCCACCAAAGCATTTACCCCTTTTTTCCCCATTATTTCCCCTTTTTGGGTTGTCTGGGTCCACTTAATATTCTGAATGATTTTCCATAAGATCATTTTGAATCTGAAAATGAACACGACATCTTAATGGTATAGTTGAGTTAATCTGAACATTCGTATGTATTACATCATGTATTGAACTATGGTGTTTTGATACACTGTTTGAAGCTACTGATATTTTTATAAGTAGTGAAATAAGATTAGTAATGACAATAACAACATCAATTTAAGCCATAACAGTAAATTAAAAAGTTAAGATTATAACAACATACATATTTATTCTTACTTAGGTAACTATTATTATGGAGAATACAAGTCAATCAACATGGATTATTAAGCGACATATAGGTTGCAGTCTTAAAAGATGTTAGTTGTGGAATTTATGGACACATGGTATACAATTCGTATCTGCTCCACCCCGTCCCAATATCTGGCGAGCCAATATTCCGGAAATCAGAAACTGTGCTATCTCGACTGATTGGTCGGTCGACGCGGATGGATTGATCGAAGATGAATGGAATAAGTTTAAGGCTACATTCGAGTCCGTAACGTCGCCGTTTATCCCATGGTCAGCACGTAAGCTATCACATTGCCCTCCATGGATTAATAAGGAAACCCGGAAGCTGTTAAAGCGTAGAAAACATTTCTGGGACTTATTCTTGTTGACAGGTCATGCACCATTTAAGCGTGAGTACCAAAAATACCGTAATATCTGTAAGAAAACCATAGACAAATCTCGTACCACTTACGAACGACAGTTAGTATACGATAGCCGTACTTGTCCAAAACGATTGTTTTCGTATGTTAAACGGCAAATGAAACGTAGTGATAGTATTCCCCCGTTACTGTTACACGACAATTCAGAATTACTAGCTGAATCAGATCGAGCAAAAGCTGAGACTTTTTCAGACTACTTTAGCGAAGTCTTCTCAACGATTATTGTAACAAATACTTGTCCCACTCACACCGAGATACCAACCATCGAATCTGTACAGGTGACTGAGGAAACTGTCCTTCCGTTGATAACTAACCTCAAACCTGGTAAGATACCGGGCCCTGACGGGTTACATCCACGGTTGCTGTATTCTCTTGCGGACATTATTTCAAAACCGCTCGCGACACTCTTCAACATGTCCCTCTCACTCGCTCAACTCCCTAGAGATTGGAAGGACGCCATAGTTAGTCCTATATTTAAGGACGGTCAGCGACAGATAGCATCTAACTACAGGCCTGTCAGTCTAACTAGCATAGTCGTTAAGTTACTCGAAAAAATAATTCGGGTTAGGTTGCTAAGCCACATAGATTTACATAATCTGTTAGCTCCTGAGCAACACGGATTTCGTAACAAGCGTTCATGCTTGACTAACTTGCTTATTGCGAGGGAGGATTGGACAGCAGCCCTAGATAACGGTCTGTCTGTCGACGTGATATTCATAGATTTCAGCAAAGCGTTTGACAAGGTTTCACACGTAGGTCTTATGCAGAAGCTCACGAGCTTCGGAATAATAGGCACTGTACATGAGTGGATAGGAAATTTCTTATGTGACCGCAGACAGAGAGTTAGAGTCAACGGAACGCTATCCGATTGGAAGCCGGTCAAAAGTGGTGTACCCCAAGGCACCATCTTAGGCCCTCTGCTCTTCCTTCTCTACGTTAATGATTTACCGCTGTTACTTAGGTCGTCGACATTATTGTTTGCGGATGATGTAAAAATCTGGAGAACAATAAAAAGTGCGGCTGATCATGTGGATCTTCAAGCTGACTTAGACGATTTAGTTAGATGGGCTCGAGATTGGGGCTTAGAAATCAATGCTAGGAAGAGTGTGCTAATGCACATCGGTCACGGTAATAGTTACCGTTACACTATTGAGGGTAAACCTCTTCCATGCGTTCAAGAGCATAAAGACTTAGGAGTAATATTAAGTCATGATTTAAAAACAACTAAGCATTGCAAAACAGCCGCTGTCAAAGGTTTTTGTGCGTTATGGTCACTTCGCCGAGCGTTCAAATCTTTTGACGAGGAAATGTTTAGAATTTTATATCCCATATATGTTAGACCACATTTAGAGTACTGTATCCAAGCAGCTAGCCCGTGTCTGGTAAAGGATACTAACTCCCTTGAGCGTGTCCAGCGTGTGGGAACGAAATTAGTGAAGGGTCTTTCTAGACTCCCTTACGATGAGCGTTTAAAACGCCTAAATCTTTTCCCCTTGTCGTATCGTAGGACACGAGGTGACCTTATACTGGCATTTCTTATCTTTAATTATGATTTGGGTGTTAATATGTCTTATCTTTTTGCTCCCTCCAGCACTATTAATCTCCGAGGTCATAGCAAGAAGGTTCATAAACCACGATCTAATAAACTTAAAGTGGGATCCCGTTTTTCTCATCGGGTAGTCAATGATTGGAACGCCTTACCCGAACAAGTGGTATCAGCCCCATCAGTGAATACTTTCAAGGAAAAGCTGGACCTTCACTGGAAAGCAATGTGTCAGGATTAACACAGGTTCATCAACCTACTTTCCTTATTACTGAAGACTGAAGACTGAATTACAATGTTTTTTCGACCATGACACTAGGGGACAATTGTTCCAGTGATATATGAATTATCTGTACTTTCTATACTGCATATGATTCCGATTGGTGAGTGTGAGCTAGAGCAACATTTATGTTTCAAGCTACCAGCCCATTTCATTCAACCATCTTACATCTTGTTCATTCATAACTTAGCAATCAGATGATTGATTGTAATACATATCTATTACTCATCCACTATTCATACACATCGAATTGGGATAATAGGCTTATTACATGTATTTGAGGTGTCTTGTGATTCAGTCGTGGACCACGGTAAACATGGAGGCTGAATATACCTTTTTCACAATGTATAATGATCATAGCCAAAACCATGTTTCATCTAGTGAAAAATGATTTTCAACCATACATATCACTGACAATCGCAACAAAGCAATGTTATTCCATCCTGTCTGGCGAAATCACGCATAGATTCGTTCAAAACACATTATTTGATTGCTTTATTACACAGAATGCTTTCAATTCTGCAAGTGTGCCACAATTCACAATCAATAATGTACAATTCTAGTCAATACAAGCAACACAATCAAAAGGAGGAACAAACAAATATGGATGCTTCCAAGACTAAGTATTAAGTAAAACAACATAAATGGGATTCAGGAAGGAACATGAAAGTGTAGTGAAGGCGTAAGAAAAATAAAAACTATAATAAAATACAAATATGACCAACTCAAATGGAATCAAAAAGGATAACAAAAATGTAAAACTAAAGGAACAACAATAGGAACAAACTACAAATGTATACATGGAAGGATTTTCACACATACACAAAACCTTCAAAATGGATCTTACTGGAAGTATTATTTCATTCAAAACATCAGTGACAAATGTTGTGTCAACGAATTATTCTTCTTAAAATCAAAGTCAGATAAAGAGAAGAGTTAAAAGCAAAAGTAATCATTGTAAAAACGTTTATTTAAACTGGAGGGATAAAAGGTGTTATACTTTACAAAACCAGTTATTTCACAATAAGAATGATGATCTAAGTGCTCATTATGGAAGCGGTTATTTCATCATTATGAGATATGTTGTCCAATGTTAATATCCATTGTTAGAAGGTGCTAGAATATCACTCACTATAAGTGAATGTGTATATCAGTCTGAGAATAATCTTATGCTTTGAACAAACTTCCATTGATGAAGTAACTGTAAAACCTTAAACTCGTTATACTTATAAAAGAACTGAAAAGGTTGAATAGGCTGATGTTAACGTTCAATGGTGCCTGACTTTATACTGACCGATCACCCGATTGTTAATGTACTCTACTTGACAGCTTTTTGAAGAACAAAGCAAAGTTGTTCTAGTCAACACAATGTGAACTTCACGAGTAACTTAAAGCAGAAATATTTCCACAGTATTTATAGATAAAATATTTCACAGTCAGTGGTATGGATGAAAATTCAAACCAAAATATCACCCTAAGAATCATCATGAAACGAAAATTTTAATTCTTCACATATTCTGTAAAAATTACTATAATAAACACAATGTGTGACGCTTTGTCAATGAAACTAGATGCATTCCAGGGTATATGATTTTTGATTGAAATTATGGACCAACAAATGTTAAAACTGTATTAAAAACCCGGAATCACTCAGCAGCCTGTTTGTTGTATTACATGACCCCATAACAGTACCTATCGACAATCATGAAAGCAGAAATCGAATCTAAGACCTTCAGTCTCGCGCGAACGTTTAGTCTCTTGCCACAACATTGAGCGACCATCTACCATTGTTTTGGGTAGGTAACTGACTCACACTGAACACAGTTGAACTCATCTGGAATGAAAGAACAATGAAGTAGTATTAAAAATCAACTGACGGAAGACATGCAAGTGAAGTGTTGAATGTATGGTTTTAATATTATATGAAGACACTCTGTGATTCTGCAACTAACAATAAACTGATCATTCACACCTGAGCTCTCACTCACTACAGCCACAGTGCCTAGATATCACCAAAGACTGGTCTATGATGCTAATTAACAGGACGGTGTGACTTTGATTTAGGATAGAAGTTCACATAATTCCCACCCAACTCGATTAAACAATGATTATCGT